ACGTCCATTGCTAGCAAACGTATCAGTAAACACGCCCCCTTAACAATAAAGATTGTGTTTTCTACGTAGTCAGCGCAAATTGGTTATAAAGAAAAGTTCAATAGCTGACAAGAGCAGCATAGTTAATTGTTGCCAAGAACTGGATCGAGTTCTGGAGATGTCAGTCGGAAGTGTCTGAGAAGAAATGGCAAAAAATGAATTAGGCGTACAAAGAATAATTCATATGTGATGTGTTATAGTGTGTGTTATGAAATCCGTTGCCAGGACACGACTAGTGAATGCTGAGAAACCTAGTGCTTTTGCAACGGTGTACTGTATAGTGTGTAGAATAATGATAGATTTTGTACGTAATTTCCTGTAGTCTCGAGTTGTGTGAATAAAGTATCAATAAATCCAGTCGTCCAATTCAAGACAGCGTCTATACGTCACTAATACAGGTGACGGTATTATGGGGGCAGGCATTTCGGATCATGGTTGATATCATCTACTGAGATCATTCGTGTTTCCCAACACATGCCGGAAAAACAAGGCCATTGAAGCTTCCTCCCACAGCCTTCTAAATGCGTTATTTCTTTTTATAATTAACGGAGATTGTAATTTGTGATATCGGGTTAAACAGCTTATAAGCCACTAATTAATCTGATAGAAACTTTAAACTCACGTAAAATATTCCCTAATTTTCACAGATTCAAAGATATTGTTTCAATGATGTTCACAAATGTTAAACTTATTCTGAAGTTACATTGTCAATTTCAACCATTAGGCATAAAGACATTGATAACTGAGAAAATCAACGGTCCTAAAGAGTTATATCTTCTGCAATATAACGCCGTATAGTGAGTTCCTGGCTACAAATCCAGAGGTCCGGGTTCGATTCCCGGCGCTATCAGATTTTCTGGGAATTAGTGGGTCTGGAACGGGGTCCATTCAGCCTCGTGAGGATAGCTGAGGAGCTATTTCAAGGAAATAACGGCTCCAGTCTAGAAATCTGAGATTAACGGCCGTGGGGAACCGTTGTGCTGACCACGTGACACCCTCTATCTGTAAAAGTCGGCACTAACTTCACCGACAAGCGGCGGTCGCTCGGTCGGTATAGTTCACTTGCTGACTACAGGCCACGGTTTTTTTAGCACTAGGATTGAACAGGAGACGATCTTATCTCTAACTGTAGAAACCATATTTAAGCGTTGCGATTTCAGGGAATGAATCTAAATATAGAGAAATGCGTCATTTACTGGGCAAAGTCGCTCGAACCTACCTCGTGTAATACATTATCATACACGTCATGGATATCTTTAGGACACATGTGCGGATTTAACGCACCGGAAATTACTGTCAGGTGACACTTTCTCTTTCATTATAAATATTCGTATTGCCTCTGTTACTACTGTTTCTCTTAAAGAAAGTGTCCAATTTATTGTTGAGGAATATTCCTCGAAATATTCGTAAGTTTAGAGAAAAGTAATGTGATTATTTTGCAGTCTAACACAATCACATGCGCTTAAAACAATAACGAGGAATTTAAGTAAAACAACTGACTGTATACAAGACAATATGACACGATAAAAATTGTCTCGAGATCGGCATCACAATTATGTATTGTCCCTTGTCGCATTTTACGCGTTACGTGGGACTCATTGTTACCGTATCCAGAATCCATGACAACGTGCAAGCGAAAACACCATCATCTCATAATAACGCAAATAGACATATTTAAACACAATGACAGAAAACGTAGAGCATACATTCGTGCTCAACGAGATGTGTCCGTCATTATTTTATCTCTTCAGAAATTTAAGGAGGGAGTGAAGTAATATTGTCTTTGAGAGAAAATAAGGAAAGGGGGGGTTAATGGACAGGGAGGAGAGAGCATCATATTATGGCCCAAGCGCTGGTAATAACATTAGAGAACACAAGGTCTGGTATATATAGGAAGAGATTCCAGCCCCCAGCAAGCTTATCGTGAAGTTTAAAGTCGATAAGGAGGGACGATATTTGTGACTAAGAAGAAAAGTTCTGTGGTTTACGTGACCTTGAAAGAGTACAGGTACATTTAAATATCGTACAAAATAATTCATTTCTGTCGTTATGGTTTCATAGGCAAATATATTTCTTCATAAATGAAGGATATCTCCTTGGTAAACGACCACATACGTAGTTTCTCCATACGGATGCTTGATCTTAAAATTATGGTGCTTGTAGAATATAATGTAACCGTTTACTTCCACGTTGTTGCCAACTTCATTCTCTTACCGTCATTTTGGCCCCTTGGTTGCTGGTTGCAGCTGCTCCTCTAGCCGTTCCCTCTCACCTGCTGGTAGTCCGTGTTTGCAGGTTGCTGCTGCGTCCTTCTTATCCAGTTCTGCTTCCCTTTTTTGTTGTTGCGGATAATTGTTTGCGGGTTATGGGTTACCTGAATGCTGGGCTCCAGTAAGCTTACTATACAGGCTTACTTTTCAGGAAAAGGGGGGGGGGGATGAACTGGAAATTACAGGCGATAGGTACTGCATTTTCACTAGAGCGATGAGATTCTGTCTCAGGGTGCATACAGGCCTCGCGTCAGCGGGAAAGATAAGAGTATTTATGGCTAGGCACTACCACACTCTGTTTAATTAGCAGTTCTTGATATACACGTAACAGTACTTGTCCTTAATCCCTTAAACCATCTTGGAATCGCTCAAACTTTTGCGACCGGATCTCTGGCTAGTTATTTAGCGACTGCTTCTTTTAGCACAACACAGTGAAGTAACACTTTCGCTTAAACTTATAAGACAAAGTAAGATTCACATTAAATTTTGCAGAGTTATTCAGGGGTTATTCCCGTAACACACTTAAACATAATTCTGTTTTAAGTTTGACTTATAACCCAACTGCCAGTGACACTAATTTTTCGGCTGTACACTTGGAGAATTGTTCAGACACTCCTTTAGCAGACTCATTCTACTTTGAAACAAGAAATCTTCACAGCTTCAGCTCCGCCTCCAAGTTACTACCCTAATTTCGGCTGACTGGAACAATTCGAATTTAGGGAGTTAACCATAATTCTCACTGCTCCAATCACCTAGCTTTAATTTGGGACTTTGGACCTTAAAGTGCTAATGTCTTTTTTGACAGCTGCTTGAAAAATTATACCAGTAGCGTGGGTTGCTGGCCTTTCCACTTTTGACTTACTGGGTTCAAAACTTGTCAAGTGTAACTTTACCAAAGGATCCCGCCGGTCAACTTTCGAACTGAATTTCCAGGAAAATTGCGGGGTGCTTCCTGCCTGGTCTTTGTAGCAGTAAAGCAGGCCCTATACTTGAAACCAAGAATCGGGCTAAGTCACCCTTGAATGTTCCTTACTACATCCTATGAGTAATTATTATAAAAAGAAATCTTGATTATACATAAAGCTGGTGGTTTCAGTGGTACGGCTACAATAACACACTAAAATATTATACAGGAAAGTGATTATGGTACCATATTTTGTGCATCTTCTAGCTTTAACAAGGAAGAAAATGAAATATCAATATATTTACAAGTTCTGGCTTGTCACCGCGGCGGCCCGAGTTCGAGCCCGGGTCTGGTAAAGTGGGATTTGTAGTGAACAAAGTGATGCTGGGACAGACTTACTCCGAGTACTTCGGTTTCCCCTGCCAATCTTCATTCCACTAAATTCTCCATCATCATAATCACCCGGGACAGGTACAGTAGACAAATCAGTGGCCGACGTGCCGAGTGGACCCAACTGAACTTCACCCCCACTATGAGAATTTAAAAGAAAATCATTTTTATGGAACTCCACGGTCTGTGACAGGGAGAGGTTTACTTGTTGTCTTTACCCAACAACATTACTCATTAAAACAAACCTCTGACTTCCAGACATGTACAGTGTATTAGGTAGGTTGCTGAAGAACTAATGTTCCGGTGCTACTGGATACTTTTCTTATGCCACTTACGAGATCAGTTGCCCCTGTGCTTAAATAATTAGGAACTACGTCATGGACGTGAATGGAGGAGTGGATGATTATATCCATATTTTCTAGACCTCGGCACTAGCTGAATGTGAGTGGTCAGTTTCACTCCCCGGAGAAAGAACTCCCGGTATCCATTGGATTGGAGGTCAGGTGGACCACAGAGCTGGTCTGGACGACGTGGAGAAAAGAAAATTCTTGACCTTACAGGGACTCGAACTCCGACTCCTCCGTCGTCCAGCCCGTAGTCAATCGCTATACCGACTGCGCTATTCCGGTTCCTACGCAATTGGTTCTGAAGTATAATAACATTCATATTTATGGAGTAAGCAACATATGTGGCATATACCATATTAACATTGTGCCATTTATAAACTGCAGAAAACTTATCAGCAGGTTCCTAAGAACTCAACAGTTTAGTGGCTGTAGCATGTTTCGGATGGGGAAATTTGTGGCTGCTGTGTTAGTTCTGAAGATTTAAATCTTCTGCGTTATAATGCAGCGTAGTCCCTTGAATGTCAGCCAACGTTTCGGATGAACACGTCGCCTCTATTTTCATGGTAGAAAAATTAGCCAAGCAACAAACCAACATGAAGTAGGTAGCAAGTAAATTTCGTCCGGAACAAATGTTGAATTCCAAAGGATTACACGGCGAATTTGATTTGTCTCATTCTGGTTCGTCACACTAACAATCACAAAATAGATATCTTACAGTCCAGTGCGACACACATACGACACAGCACGCACGTATACTACACAACTAACAATAAGAACATACAACGCAGAGAAATATCGACATCTCCTACCGTCCGGAGGAACAGCAACATGACCCAATGTTGATTCACGATTTTAACATAATAACTAACTTCTTAAACACAAAAGAATTTTAACACAATTTAAATACATAAGGAAGCTATTTTAAGAAAAGTAAACATCACATTGCGTGCAGTGGGAAATTCCAGTCGAATACCCAGAAAATACGCCTAACGAAACAACATCTTATGTAAATCAACACGTCAACGTGGCTGCAAAGTGCAAATTGTGATACAGTGAGCACTATTTATAACCTTAGTGCATAACGTCAAATCTTATGTGACAGTGTTTCCTGCTCGTACTGGTACGCCTCTGAAGATGATTCTATTGAATCGAAACATGTAAGGCGAGTGAAGACCGAAGTGTTGTGAACTTGAGTGTCGCACTGGACTGTAAGATATCTATTTTGTGATTACACGGCGTTTTGTCCCAGGAAACGGGATTCTTCATAACTACCGCTATGAGAACCTCAAACCCTACATGTTAGTTTTTTAAAATGGAGGATATGTTTATGATCTATTTTAAACTCAAAGATGGAAAATACCACACTGTTAAACTGATAAATATTTCCAGACGGTCATATAAACCACAATGAAGTGTATTTGACTCCGCTGTGTCGGCATTAGTTTTATTGTACATCATAGGAAAATTAATCCTACACAAATATTACAGAACTAACTTAAACACGTGATATTTGTTCCCATTATTTGACAACACTGGATGTTCCGAATAAAATTATCAAATATTTTGTCACATCTCTAAAAGCACATGCAATTAGTGCAGTGCATAACCTATGACAGTAGCAGTTTAAGATTTTACACACATACACACACAGACACACACAAGCAGAAGACCTCAACTTTGTGCTCATGACTTTCAAAGAAAACCGTCCAAATCCCTTTCCACTGCCGTTTATATGATATCAGATTTCTTCAGTTTAGTAACCGATCGTGGCTCCCGAGAGCAGTTTATAAATATTACTAGTAATTACATACTCTTAACTACATTGCTACCCTGAGCCATACTATCAATTTTATATTAAGAGTGACGTATGCTCAGTTCTTGCTAAAGCTGTTCTGAGAATTTTTGGCAGGGAACTCTTAGAGAAGACTTATGTAACCCGAGACAATCCCAAAATAACTAGCGCGATATCGTGTGGCAGTTACCCCAGTCAAGCTTAAGGAAGCTTCCAGAAGCTTTCAGAATCTGTTACAAGGTTCTGGAATTTGTATTTAAATTAAATATGTCAATTCTATTGGCTGTGCAAATAAGCTTTGTGGACCCCGTAGTCGGCAAGCCAATCAAAATTGAATTACGAGGGGATTTAAGTCATTTGAAGTAGACCCTTTTTAACTTCAAACTGCGTTTTGAATGAGTCGTCCACTAACCTTCGTGTAAGCTAGACAACAAAATCCACGTCTCTTACACCTATAAAGTCTGTGTTGTCGTGATAAAAGTGAAATTGATATCGGCCTTAAGGGACTGATTATGTACCCTAGCAGTGCTGAAGTGTGAATAAATGTGGTTAAGTGTTTCATTACTTATTTGTGATCCAGTGACTTCTTGGCGAAAAGTGTCTCGTTAGATTCTAAGAAAAAATTCTTTTGCTCACCGACATGATTTCAGTCCCGTTACCAATTCCACGTTCCCAAACCAACTCGCTTATGATTCCTGAACCCAACGGCGTCCAAAAGAGTGAGGAGAGAGACGACCAAAACAAGATGGCGGAAGACACGTGACGACATTGACAGCCCACAAAGAAAGTGCGATTATAAAGTGGCTATACAAGTGCGGGCAGTTTACGGAGTTTATGCAGGGTCAGGATCTCACAAATTCACTAACCGTAACAATCTGCAAGTCTAATTTGACACTAAGTAAATTCTGTAATTGTATAAGAGCGTTGAATCATGTTAAAGAACAATAAGACTCGTTGAAATGATGACAATTAAAATATATGGATGATGCATTTCAGAACTGACTCCCTGATTCTGCGAGATTATGTATCATGCGAGAAGTTCATGTCTTTACTATTCTGCAAAGTGAGAAGCATTAAGTTTTCTCTATTTCGCTGTTCTCTCACTTACTCTTTATCTAATGGCGCTGTTGGTAGTGAAGAAAATACAGCATCGAATGGCAGCATTATCGGTGACTTGTGAACTAATTTTAAGAACTACCTCTTTTTTTTTCGGAGAGCTTGAGGAATACCGTGATAAACCTTGGGATAGTCAATTTTAGGGCCAAGATTTCAAACCGGGACCTTCAGAATAGGAAGGAGTACTACATACCAGATCGATGGAGATTCGATACGAGAACTCATGTGTAAATTTTGATATGAAGAGATCCAGTTTTAAAAAACCTTCCTCGACCGTGCATGATACAAATATTGATTAATATTGCATAAACTTAACATGTTATGCCGCAGTCATAATAGGAAATAGGTGTGACATTCTAGACCTTCCACAGCCTCGCCCGAACATAAAAACAAGTTCTGCAGCTCGTCATCTGTACGTGACTAATGCCAGACTCCCATACAAAGCAGCTGACGCGGATCTGTGACACGCACGAAGTCTCAGATAACTTATAACATGCTTCTAAATCACACAGCTTATGAGATCAGCCAGCACAGGGAATCTATTGAATACTTCTGCTTTACTTCGCTTCTTCTCGTATGTGATTGGGATCCTGTTTAGTAAAACGCGCGCAACAATTAAATAAATATTGCGTATGTAACATATACAGTAAACAAGAAGCACAAATATCAATATTTCGATGCTGCATGTTCCAGTTGTGGAAATGTAAAAATTAACTTCAGTAATCCTAGCACTAATACGGCCCAATAGTCCTTTATTTTCCGATTAATTAGGCGTCACGCATGCAAATAATCTAAAATAAGCTATAAAGTAGGACGTTACTATCATAGGCCGACAGACATTACTAAAATCAATACGAAAATGAAACATTATAGAAATTGTGAAACAATAGTGTGAATGGGTAATAAAATAAATCTAAAAGGAACATAAACCAGGTGCGGACTGGTTAAAGTTAGCGTCCAGTTTTAATTGTTTCGCTCACGGAAATGAAGGTACGATCTCCAGAGACGACAGACCGATTCTTTCATTGGTACTAGGAAGTATCAAATAAATAAATAAATAAATATCTGGCACATTGTTTTAATAATGTATTCTGTGTTCAAAGCTTCAATACTCTATTCGTTTTTAGTAGGTATTTCCACGTATTGCTGTTTAAAGAGTTATTTCTTATAAAATACTATTAAATGTCCACATGCATACACATTTTATGAGATTAAGTGGAAGTAAATTTATGAAGGGTCTAGTTTCCATATCACATCTGAAGCTGGAAATACAGTCACCAATATTTAAACAATGAAATTAGACCTATAGTTACATGTCTATTTTAACCCAACATGCTACACATATGTGCCTACAGAAGCGTTTTCGTCAAATTTTCTTACCTCAGTTTTCCTATTAAATATTTGGTTCAATATATATAATTCAATTTCAATAAAGAAATTCAATTTCGTGAAGTACTCGGTTATTATGTTCAAACTGCTGATTCTAGAGACTTATCCATTGCTGTTTCTTCAACCCTCTTGAAATCTTTTACCTGTATTGTTGTTTTACTACTTGTTACTTTTTACATTCTGTCTTGTTACTCAATTTTTTATAAATTTTGAGCACACTTTGAACCTTATTTTGATGTTCATCTACATTTTTCTTACTTAATACTAGATTTGTAATTCTGTTCGGTGTTCCGTATACCTGCTGCAACATTGAGTCTAGATATATAAAAAATTATGAAATTAAGAGGACGTGTTCTGTTCAGAGACACGGACAGTTTTTTATAATTGTTGTAGCGATTTATAACGTTATTGCATTAAGTACATTTTCTTACTCTCTGAAACTCCATAAAGTATAACTGTTTTCGCTGACACGCCCTAAACTTATCTGGACTTGCCTAGCTTTTGAATTCAACGTAACAACTGTATTCTGCATATGAATACATTTCTTATGGTTTCAGTTATGAAAACCGTTAAAAGGACGCTTCTGTTATTCATTGGGCTGAGTTTAGCCATGTTTGCGACTGCAGCCATTAGCGACGTGTCCTCAGCGCAAGGCACTGGAAGCCGATCGAACTCGTCCAGTGAGAAGACGAGAATAGCGGGACTCAAATCTAGCAACGTTCTAGCAGACATCGCACGAGAAATGGTCATGCGCTCGACAACTAACAGTCAGGTGAGAAAAATTATACAAATCTCTGCACGCGCTCTTGTAAGTAAGCAATCTTTCTGCTACACTGGTGGCAAACAAAGAGGCTTTTTTAATAAGTGGCTAAATGTACGAAAGTTCCCTGGAAGCTGAATAATAATATAAACAAAATCTACTGAATTAATTGCATTTTCAAGACAACTATAAAGAAACTTTAAAAATTGAAAACTGCAAAATCTAACGACAGAATTTTCTGGTATGCAGAGGCAGGTGACATCATCCAGATAGGCAAAGTAAGCTTAGAGCTCAAAATCTGCTACGGCCAACATCATGCATAAAATAGTCTTCCATCAAATTCAACTGTTCTCTAATTTGGTTCATTCCTGTCCGTCACACTAGCAATATTATAAGAGGTTGTCAACTGCGTCCAGTGTGCCTGATAAATATTTTTTCTCATTTTTAATCTTTCATCCGTGACATGTTTCGGTCTTAGAGACCATCTTCAGAAGGATAAATCAATGCGGGCAGAAACTACTATTACAATACGTTTGCTCAATATGAGTATATACATGCAATATCATCACAATGCCATGAATAAAATCTGATCTTTTAACAACTACGACGTGCATAAACACATCCAAATATTTATAAATTATTAAAATTAGTTTCTTTACAAGTTTGGTTTAAAGTAGAATTTGTTAAAACTTTAGGACCAATTTGGTTCGTACCCTGTATACTGCCTTTCTTTAAAGGAAGCTGAGTGTCCACCACCCCGTGGGTCCCTTGTGTGATGCATGGGACTCTGCAAACGTATTATGGGTATACTGTAGTATGTCCATAATCCCGAGTTCTTCATTTAGTGTGAGTTTTTATTATTTTATCCCACCTTCAGTGTTGTCCTTCTTACCGTCCCCCTCGTGTAACCTCTAGCCACACCGGTGGGTCGCTACTCTTTACCTTCCTTCCTTCCTTCCTTTGTCGTTCTCACCACTGCCGTCGTTGGTCGTGGAGCTTGCAGCTAGGTCGGCTTTACCTGGCTCCACCGCTTCTCCAACTTCACCACTTCTCTTCACTATGAAAAGGGTATCAGGTCCGGGACTTGGACTGGATGGTCTATGGGCGCCAGCAACTGTGGATACAGCTGCGAAGTGAAGGGAAAAGGTGGACGGGGTGGGAGCTGATGGTGATCGGGCTAGCAGTGGTTGGCGTGAGACTCTGGCTCAGGTCGTTTAGGGCCTTACTCCGACGAGGAGGAAAAAAAAACACGCTGGACACACAAACACTAGGCAACACTAAACTTTATTGATTTAAATCTGAACGCCACTCAGATAACACTCCGTGCGTTACTTTAACTATGATCTCACGTTGATCGAACACTAATTTTACTTAACAGACGAGTGAGACAGCAGACGCGTCCGGCCAGTTCAACTGTTCTTACCAGACTCCCCAAAGGAACTGACTGCTTTTGCAGATTCAGAGATACTGCCAAAATTTGAGGAACACCTCGTTGCCATTTTCCCAATTTCCGGGTTGGCTGAATTTAGAAGGGGGAGGGGTTTGATAGATTTCTCATTCCTCCACTGGTCAGCTGTTTGCGGCGAAAGTTGGGGTTCACACGCTTTCAGTCTTTCTGACCCGGGGTGGATTGAGAGGGTACGACCTAACGGTCTCCTAAGAGTAGGTCCGTGATGAATCAGGTGTTGGAAATTGGCCCCTTTCCTGTACTAATAAAACAATTCGCCGCTCGTTGCTAAAAGCAGGCTTTAACATTTAACATTTATGACCGTTAGAGGGCCACCTCTCTCTAGTGACCAAAAGTCCTTTTCAATGTCTTTTGGACAGATCCCTCTTATTAGTATTTATGGCTATTTCTAAAAGTAGAGAGAGGGTCGGGCTGGTTTGGGTTTAGTCTGGGGATTGTGACCCGTCATAAACTTTACCATCCCGGAACTGCGAAAGGGTTCAGTTCCCGTTGGTTGGAGTGGGTGTGAGGTATTGCCTCTGCTTTGATGTAGCGACAAGTACCGACACACGTGAACCAAAACATTGGAGTCCTTTGCATTGTACGGTTACATCCTGTTGTTCGGGCCGCGTTGTGTTGTTATACTGTTCTGACGTGTGTTGAGTCGCGTATATACTTGTATACCCCTTGTGCCTTATGACGTCTGTGTGGGCGTGTACTGATGTTTTATTATGATGTCAAACATACTGTACTTTAAACAACACAGCAGGCCACGAATAAACACGGAAATACTAAGAATCTCCTTTCGCAAGATAGACAGGCGGCACAGGACCAGCCACCTCCAAGAATAACAATAGGAGAATTGACAGGAACCTGTATGGTTCATAAATTTTAAGCTTGAACTAGAAAGTTTTTAAAAAAGTTTAAAAAAAAAACTTTAAAAAGTTTCAACACCAGGAAGGCTGCTGTGAATGTAAAAGTTTGAACACTGTCTACATTGTGCATTTCAAACATTATATGTGTATGTATATAATTAACATCTATTGTAATAGTAGTTTCCGAAAAAGTATTGATGCCCTCTGAGGATGATCCGTAGGGATCGAAACATGTAAGGGTAATGAGTCTTCAAATTATAAAAATTAAATAGTCACATTAGACGGTGTTATTTTTGTCTTTGTGGTTACCATTCTCCCTTGTAAGTTTTGTTCTTCTATCAATTTATTAAGTTTATTAAAGTGATACAGTAGAAGTTTTCTTTTATATTAATGAGGTTCCCTTTTTTAGCATTTTCAACCATTTCCATGATTACTTTCATAGGTCCATACTGTGGCGTTTATTTAGTATATGTTAGGCAAAAGCTGATTCGTCTTTGTTAAATCTTGTGTTTCTTATGTCTTCTTTATATCTTGTTGTTAGATTTATACCAGTTTGGCCAATGTATACTTCATGGCAGCTTTGGCAGGTTATTTTGCATATCCCACTTTATTCGTAAGGGTTTGTTTCTAGCTTCTAGTTTACTAATTTTATTAAAAATGATATGACCGAACTAAAAACAGACTCTACCCCCAAATTTCAAAGAATAGTAAAAAAAACTATAAGAATGTAAAAATATAGTAGAATCCAACAAAAAGAAAACACGTACTTCAGATGAATCCATAGGTACTCAAACTGAAAGCAAAATTAAAATCCACAAACCAGAGACCCCAATCATGCCGGTTATAAGCAGCATTCACACCAACACATAAATTAGCTAAATATATCCTTCAAAAATTAAAACATGGATACATCATCAATAACAGAGCATAGTCCGCGGAAAGTATGGGAAATTTAAAATTAAATCCAGATCATAAATTATTAACAATGGATATTAATGATATTTATGTCAAATATTCCGATCAACCATACACTCCTTGTAATTATTATATTACTTAAAAATAAACGCGTGGACAAACGTGTTACAAAAGAAATCATATCTGTACTTAAGATGATTATGAATCAAAACTAGTTCCAATACGATGGCAAATTCTACAAACCAAAGGCAATCGTATTTATGGGTTCACCCCTATGAAGTACTATGGATGAAATTTCCTACAAGACGTAGAACAAAATGGAATAAAACTTTTACTGGAAGGTAAAAAATCATATCACAGATACGTAGATGACATCTTCATAACAAAGTAACCCTCCAAAGCCTATCAGAACAATACAATGAGCAGTATAAAGGCTTACAATTCACAATAAATGAGCAAGTAAGCAACCAAATAGCTTACTTGGAGGGTGTCTGAAACCTATTCTGTTTTTCCCAAAAGGGGAAAAACGGAAGACATAAGAAGCATTTCTCTTTCGATAAATAACTGATTTATTACTTTACTACACAGCCAACTGACTCCATGGAACTGAGCCCTTCTTAAGAAACTACCAATTGTACAGCTACGAACCTGAGCTTCATTACTCTGTTTACAGATCCCTCCACTGGCCATTATCCTGAGCGAATTAGCCCACTACAGGCTTCTTATATTCCACGTATTAATATTTTCCTTAGCCGAAGCTGGAAGACCACCCCTTGTCGACTGTACGCGACTAATTATACAATGTATTCCTAGTTAACCTCCATACCTGGAGGCAGTCTCATCCATTCAAAACCTGAAACCCGACATGCCGTTGTGACAAAAGACCCACCTAATATTGAATAGATAGCTGTGTGCAGTGGTAAATAAAGGACAGAAATTCAAAAACTACAAAATCGAGAAATTTTAAAATACATCCATTTTAATTTAAGTACAATAATTTAAATTTCAGGAAAATCCTCCTTAAATTAAAAAAAAAATATATATATATATAAAGCTTAAACTGCACCGATGTTCCTTAACCGAAGGGGACGATTTGTACTGGTGGTCACCGACTGACAGTTGAGTGTGGAATGAGTTCTCGAGCGTAATGACCAGAAAGCTTTCCTGCATCTCATTAGTCTGCACTTTAATGGTATTTCTGGTAACAGAAGAATGTCTTTTTTAATTACATGAATAAAATTGTTACATAATATTGCTGCAATTTTGTTCCGAAGAACTTGAATTAATTTTTACTATAATATAAGAACACATAATTTAAGAAGTCGTTTATTGATACAAGAAGAACATTGATTTAGTGATTATGATGGATGGAATGCAAGATTTATTACTTTGAAAATCACTAATTTATTCCATAATAATTGTACCAGATATACAAGGCCTTCCGGGTAGCATTCGAAAAACCTGTTTCCTATTGCAGACTTCCGGTTCTACATATCTTTTTTTGTTAATGTCTTACTTAGATAATGTACAATTTATAATGCAATAATTGAATTAAATTCACTTCACGGGCTAGTGTCATGAACTCGCGTAGGCGGTCGTTTGAGAGACCCTCAGTCAAATAATAATTTTCTTTGCAGTTTGTAACTGTAAGTATGTCGGGGAATTAGAAGCGACGAATATTCAGTGAATGTGGTATGTTCTGATAATATTCTGCGTCAATTTATTATAGCTCATGGAGCTGAGCTCTTTTTGAGATGCCGCCAATTGTGCAGCTA